AATATCTTTTCAAGAAGTTTCTCCAACTAAGCCAACGTACCTCGATGAAGTAAATAACATCCTCATATGCTGACTCAATTTCCTCTAAAAAGGCCCGGAACTGACGTTGCCTCAAGCTCCTGGATCTGATAGGTTTATGCATTTCACAACGTCAGACTTCACAGTGTCAAACTTCAGGCATTTACTGCTAACAGCCTGCTGATTGATAATGCAATGTAGTGCAATGGCCTTTTCCACATCTTCCTTTTTCAGTTTTCTTTGAACATGTGCCACGAATCCATTAATTATCCCTGTCATTGATGGCGCTCCGACGGTTGTTATGCCTGCAAAACTTTTCCACTGTAAACCGGCATCCACAATGCCATTACACAGCTGGCGGAATATCTCCGCAATTATCTGGCCATGCATTGGAATCACTTTGAGCAACTCCTCCATCACTTCAAAATTAGCATCAACACCACGGACATATATTGCCAGATGTGCAGTGTCAGTAACATTTAAGCTCTCATCTAGAGCGACTGAAAATGCTTGGTAATGCATGAGAATGTGGACAACCAGCGGGCCGCAATAATACTAAACTTTTATGTCAGTTGGCGGGCCGCAAAAAATCGTTTTGCGGGCCGCGAGTTTGAGACCCTTGTTCTAAAGCATGTGTAAGTGCTGAGTGCATGCTTAGACTTATAACTATTTATGTATCAGATAAGCGCATTAATATAGTTGTAATTATTTTAATCCAGCAAAAAAAAAAAATATATATTTCTGTTTGTTTGCAAGATTGCCTCCCCCCTCAACCCATGCATGTTCTTTTAGTATTTAATTTTGAACACGTTGAAGAATAAGCCTGCCTGTCGCTAATTCCATTGCACAGGTAGTCAAGATATTAATACATAAGGCAGACTCCTGAAAGGTGCACCCATCACGTATTCTCTCCATGGCTCCCTCCAGTGTGACATATCTTGCTGGCGCTTCATCATACTTGATGGCAGCTTCTTTTTCAACACCCTGCACAGGAGTTTCACTATCTGAGGAGACATAACCACACACATCTACTGTTAAAATCTGAGATAGACTCTGATATATATATATTTAATATATCCAAATTTTTTTTTCAAATTCGTTGGAGCTGTAATTTTTTTTTTTTTTTAATTTCATTTCTCTTCCAACAGCGTACAACTCGACCATATCTCAAATGATCGGAACCATTGCTAATCCGGGTTTTCCAGTTAAATACCCAGCACCTTCCTATTATTCGTGGTCTCGACCATATCTCAAATGATCGGAACCATTGCTAATCCGGGTTTTCCAGTGAAATACCCAGCACCTTCCTATTATTCGTGGACGCTTGATGGGGGGGACGAAGTGATCGCTGTAAGGTAAATCAGTATGAGTATTTTCTTTTTAAAAATTATTATTTGTTTTTAAATGTATATATATATATAAATATATATAAATTACGAAATATCTTAAATTAATTTAGATAAAATCCTAACAATGAAATCACTGGTTCTATTCACCATATCAGATATGAAGTGCTAAGAATTAAATTGTTTTACAATCTTGCCAAAAGTTTATTTCATTTGCTTTTATGTTTAATGTTGAATAGAAGAGTAAAGGAAATAGTACCGCCCCAGGTTGAACTTACCCTAGTTTTGCACATACTTGTGCTTAATTTTTTATTTTAATTTTTGTAATTGATTTCTCGTTTAAAAAAAAACATGTTAAATATATTTTATATATGTTTATATATATATATATATATATGTATATCAGCTTTCAATCCAAAATGATCAGGGAGATGGAAAAAATATTAATGTAAGCGTTAGGCTTAATACGGTCAAAAGTTCACTTTGGCTCATGATTTTTGGTTTGTTTCATTGTGTTATCGTCTGTTCCATTCATTTAGTTTAGCGCATCTCTCGATAAGCCTGTTTGGAAGACATGATAACCAATTTTATTTATTTCAGATTTTTTATTAAAATGCAAGGATTTCCAGACTGTAAAGATGCTGTGCTTCGTGTGTACGATGGTGGAAACACGAACGCCAAATTAATTTCACAATATTGCCAGTCCAATTTTTCAGTCAATCTAACATCAACAACTAGTTTGATGCACATTGTTTTTAAAACAAACAGCAGTTCTTTGGTTTACCCAGGATTTAATGCATCATTTGTCGCGAAAGGTGAGTTCGACTTAAACATATTTTAACACATATATTAATTTTTTTTTAAACATATTTATTTATACATAATATAAATTATTAATATTTGCATATAGAAAAATATTCAATAATGCATGAAAATGTATAAATAAATCAATGACATATTCAAATTAATTGTTTCCTTTACAATTTTGTTTAAATAAACAATATTTTATTTTCATGTGTCGTATTACATAGCCAGTTATTGTTGTACTTTTGTTTGTAATGTAAAATAGGTCAATAGTGTAAAAATTTCATAAAGAATCACCCAGGTAGTATCTAAAAGATGTATTACCATAATGTTTTTTGAATATAAGGTCGAATAAAAGATAGCACCTGCTCTTCTGCCTCTGACTGCAACCCACTTTTAACATGCGTGGATGGCATCTGTGGTTGCTTATCTAACAGATTTTATAATGCTTCATTGGGCACGTGTGATAAACGTAAGTTTCTTTTGTTTACTAAAGAATATAAAAAATGCTTTACATTTAGTCCATGATTTGTTTTCAGCAACAGTTACACATACATTTTGTATTTGCCGGCTTCCAAGACAGTAGTCGCATTAACACACAGGACAATCAATTTTTTTTAAAGTTTTTAAGAAACAACAAAAATATAACAAAAAGATTGAGCATTTCTGTCCATTAGATGGGGGAGGGGGGGGGACGAAGTGATCGCTGTAAGAATTGCATGTCCTGTAGGTCTATGGCGCTAAAATATTTGACGCACTTAAACAAAATTTAAATGAATCAGTAAAATGAAGGAAATGAATCAAAAGTTAGTTAACTAAAATAAAGATCAAAGAGTGCTGAAAAATATGTCTGTTAATAATCGGATAAAATTCAAAGTTTCAACTAACAGAAATAAATGCTTCATTCGCGTTCAATGCATTATAATATAAATAGTTTCACGTGACATGATGAAAATCTGACAGATACATGAATATATATATACATTTCTAAGTCAAACTTCGTCTAGTATGAAATAGTTCTTAATATATACTGTTTGTTTAGCAGCTTTCTGATAGCTTATGCTATATTTTTGTACTATCTTTAATTTATAAAAAAAAAAAAATACCAAACAATATCATATCTTTTAATTAATTTAAAAACACCAAAATAAATACTCCAATGTAAAATGTGGCATCATCATCAGTGGCGCTACAGCCCATGTAGAGCCCTGACCTGCTCCACCACATCATTTCATTTGTAGCGATCCGTGGCTTTCCCCCTCCACGCACGAACCCCAACTGGTGTATATCCATCTCCACATCATCAATCCATCTCAGCCTTGGGCGACCGGTGAATCGTCTGCCCCCAGGTATCTGCCTGTATATGTTACATTAAGAAATAGCGTCAGCGGGGCGAGTCTAGACTCTTATGCCCCCCCCCCCAATCCCCCCCCCCCTCCGTGGCTTTCCCCCTCCACGCACGAACCCCAACTGGTGTATATCCATCTCCACATCATCAATCCCTCTCAGCCTTGGGCGACCGGTGAATCGTCTGCCCCCAGGTATCTGCCTGTATATGTTACATTAAGAAATAGCGTCAGCGGGGCGAGTCTAGACTCTTATGCCCCCCCCCCCAAATCACCCCTCCCCGGTCCGACGTATCGGGCCGCGGAGCGGCACGTTGGAGATGCCCACTCGTCAGGACGGCCCCCACACGGGCCCCTAACCCAAGTCCCCCGCCTGGGCACTCGACCAGGACCCCGCCTGGGGGCCGCCCCAACCAGGGGGCACCCGGTCGATCCGACACTATGCGTTTAAATAGTGCACTCAATCGACTTTCTCAGGAGTTGGGGTGGAAAAATTTACGTCATGATATCTTCCCCCACCCATCCCGAAAAAGCGTCGGACGCCCTATAAGAGGGATTCCACAGTGGGTTTCCAAAACGCGAATAGCTCACGCTGTAGTTGGGACAAAACGGTTGCCTAGGGGCAGCGTTCTCACGGCTGCATTATTTGAATCCTCGGCCAGAGGTTACCACCCTCGCCTCTGGCCTCATACCTGTCAACGGCAACTTGTAATCATGATCCCTACCCTGGCTCTGCCTAACTTTCCGACTGTGAAATATCACAACCGGCAGCCCTGTGGGAGCTGTTTTATGTACGGCAGGTACCGAGCACACCCTTTGTCTGCCCACGTGGGGCGTGCCCAGTAGTTATTTTTCAAGGCAAACGCCTAGGGGGTCGGTGGCCGACGCTTCCTAATCGGCAAGCCACTGCAGACTTGTCAACCGGAAACCTGGAACATCTGCCTGTGTATAACTTTTGCAGCTCTGCATTCCAGCATCCTTTCAACATGTCCTGCCCAGCGTAGTCTGCCTCTTTTTATCATTGCGACTATGGGTGGGTCTTCGAACAAATAGTAGAGTACTTCATTTGTACGGATTCTCCAGATATCATTTTCTACCACTGGGCTGCATATTTTTCGGAGGATATTCCTCTCCCATACGTTGAGCAGGTTCTCTGCTTTAAATGTCACAGAAACACAAATTGTCAATTTGGTTACGTTTCCTCGTTTGAAAAGAATTTAACATGTACAACATAGGTACATATTAAGTAAAACAGAAGTTTATTAAACTATGCTAAATGCTACACAATAATGTGCTACATTGTAATCCAAACATAAATTATGCTAAAATTGAATTGAAACATTTAACTTGCTACAGTGTAATTTTAAGTTTTTCTTTCTGTTAATTTGTAATACTTATTATTTCAGTGCTCGGCCACGGAATAAAATGTTTACCCCAAGTTTCAAGGATATGTGAACATTTAGACTTTTTATGTAAACCAGACGTGTCACATACACACAGGTGCCTGTGTAAGGACTTTATGTTTTACGACGGACGACAGTGCTTACGTCGTAAGATTTCTTTTCTAGACTAAAGAGTAGAAACAATATTTTGAAGAAGGGACAATATAGTTAAATATATCATTTTAAAACGATTTTGTATCAGAAAACATGATATTATCAGAAAACATGATATTATCAGATTTTTTTTTCATTAATTTTTTATTTGTCAAAGCTATATATTTATTTTCGAATCAGTTTCAGATTTACAAGTTACATTTTCCAACTCGACCCAAATATCATCGAATGTTGTTAAACTAGCGTGGACAACACAATTATTTGACGCGAACGTTACCTATAATCTGACTTGGGTGACAAGTAACGATATTCTAGAAACAGGAAGCATGATGGCCACTTCTGATGGTGCCAATGTAACTGGTTTGAAACCTGGACAAAGCTACAATTTCACAGTGTTGGCGATTTTAGGACAAGACTTGTTCTACGGTCAAACGATTGTCAAAACAGAGATAGCAATTCAAACAGGTAATTTTTAATAGCAATTTTAAATTATATAGTAACACATTTTATTTACAATAGAAAAAATAATTTTTAACATCTTTAGTAACATGTAATTCTAACTTTTGCTGTAATAATTGATGTAAAAAAATTAACCCAAATTAAATATTAATTTAGTATTTCTTACGACCACGTTCAATGCTCTTATAAGTTCGGTGTATCGTAACAAATATTAAGTTCACTTGTATTAAATATTTAAATCAAATGTCACATTTTCGATATTCTTTTCTTTAAATATGACCTTCCTTTTCCATACAACAATGTGCTGCCTATTGTTTTTTTTTTCCAAACCGACAATTTTGTGAGGTCTGTAGAATTCCATGCAAGGCTTGGATAGTGTGCTAATAAACTAATTTTCAATCTGTGTAACAATCGAAACATAGAATTTAATGCAACAGAAAGTTGAATGTAATGACACGTACACATGATGTCACTTTTTCGTGGTGGTAAAATTCAAATCGAATCAACTTTTATCATAATTTTGTTAACTTTAGACTTTTAAGTGTAAATGTAATGTTCCATAGTTCAGCTAACTTTTTGCTTCATTCATAGTGGATAAGTATTTGTGCTATTTATTATATATATGTGTACATTTCTTTTTTTTTCTGCGATTGTCTATAGCTAATATGGAATGGTTTTGAGTTATTCTTTTAACTTTCTACGGCGGCAAGGTTGTTAAATATCCGTTTATCACAAAACTTGGGGATCGGTGTTACGTACCCATTCTTTCAAGGTTTGATCATTTCCTTCTCTAGGGGTTACACTAAAAAATTACACCTTTTAATTAATTGAAGAAGTAATCTTTATTAGCTGTACAGTTCTATAACTAAACGACAATGGCAACATCATTCCTGATGCAGTTGCCATTACTCCATCACAACACACAACAAATTAATAAGTCATTTCAAAAACCAAGCATAGCATAGCAACATCTGCAGACATACTCTCCAGCCAACACGTAATTACAAAATACAAACAAGTCGTTAACAATGGCATTGAGGTGTTTGTGGATAATTTACTTTTGTTTAACAACCAGGTATTGTTCAAAGTTTTACTCTTCACGATATTTACCTCTATTGTATTTCTAATTATGTACAAGATGAGTAACTTAAACAAAAAGAAATGCTTATTATTCAAAAAATTAATAACAGGAATCAGGGCTACATCCCCCCAGACCTAAAGGATGCAAATATAGTGACACTATCTAAAAACAAAGGTGATAGGAGTGATTGCAATAATTATCGCGGCATTTCACTCCTTAGTATTGTAGGAAAGGCCTTTGCCCGTGTCATACTAACACGTTTACAGAGACTAGCATCCCGGGTCTATCCAGAATCTGAGTGCGGTTTCCGGTCTGGGCGGTCTAAGACAGACATGGTGTTCTCCATACGACAGCTTCAGGAAAAATGCAGAGAGCAGCAGATGCCACTTTACATTGCCTTTGTGGACCTTACAAAAGCCTTTGATTACGTCAGTCGCAACGGGCTATTCAAAATACTGGCAAAAATCGGCTGTCCACCTCAACTACTTGCCATCATCAGAGAGTTCCATGAAAATATGCAGGGCAAAGTGCAGTTCGATGGAGCCAAGTCAGAAACCTTTCCAGTCAGCAGCGGAGTTAAACAAGGTTGTGTACTCGCACCAACACTGTTCGCAATATTCTTCTCTGTACTACTTCGATACGCATTCAAGGATAGCAGTGAGGGAGTCTGGTTACACACCAGAGCTGATGGAGGACTTTTCAATACTGCCCGCCTCCGAGCCAAGACCAAAACGACAGATGTCCTAATTCACCAGCTACTATTTGCGGATGATGCGGCACTAACAGCACACACAGAAACTGGTTTGCAACAACTCGTGTCAAGCTTCTCCAATGCATGTAAAGAATTTGGTCTGCAAATCAGCTTGAAAAAGACAAACATCATGGCCCAAAAAACTCGACCTCCACCTAACATAAAAATCGATAATGAAAACTTGGAGGTTGTGGACAGCTTCACCTACTTGGGGTCCAAGGTCTCCAATACACTGTCCATTGAAGAAGAAATTAACAGCAGAATCGGCAAGGCAGCTGCCACAATGGCTAAACTAAATAAACGGGTCTGGCAAAACACCAAGCTAACGGAGAAAACCAAACTGTGCGTCTATCGAGCTTGTGTCATCAGTACACTACTATACGGGAGCGAGACATGGACCACCTATACATCCCAAGAGCGCAAGCTTAATAGCTTCCATATGAGATGCCTGCGTTGCATCCTTGGTATTAAATGGCAAGAAAAAGTGACTAATAGTGAGGTCCTAATGCGTGCGAATACCCAAAGCATGTTCACAATCCTTAGTGAAAGACGCCTGAGATGGCTAGGTCATGTTCAAAGAATGAGTCCCGGCCGCATTCCGAAAGACCTCGTATATGGTGAACTTGCTTTTGGAAAGAGGAAAACAGGTCGCTAACGTCTGCGATTTAAAGATGTCTGTCAAAGGGACATGAATGCAGCCAAAATACATACAAGTGACTGGGAGTGTAAGGCAGAAGACCGATCTACGTGGCGCACAGTTGTCAAAGAGGGCGTCATGGTTGCCGAGGAGCGAAGAATGGAAGAGGCTGCAGACAGAAGAGCTAGGAGAAAGGCCAAAACATTTAGAAGCACGGGACTCGTGTGTAAAAATTGTGGTAAAGACTGTCACTCAAGGATAGGACTGCACAGCCACTCGAGAAAATGCAACCCAAACCAACGGTGATGCACCATCGTCTCACGAGACGAAAGGATGCCGATATAATTAAGGCAAAGTACCATAGAATAATTCATTTCGCTCACATATGTTATTGGTATTTTTTCTGTTTGAGCCAGAAAGTTTTTTTTTTTTTTTTAACTTGTTTTTTCACTTAAAAAGTTTAATTCTAAAAAAAATATATATATATNATGTTATTGGTATTTTTTCTGTTTGAGCCAGAAAGTTTTTTTTTTTTCAACTTGTTTCTTCACTTAAAAAGTTTAATGCTAAAAAAAAAATATATATATATATATATATATATATAATTGTATATATTCATTCAGCCTTTACAAAATAGAATGAGCTCTTAACCCATCGTAATACGGATGTAGTCAAACACATAACTGCATTAATTGTGATTGTTACTGTTAAACAGGATACAAACGAACGTGACAACACTTTCGTTAAGCAGCTGACAAAGTTGGTAATACCCATGTATATTTATAAAGTCCCCTCAGTGATGTTACAAAATGGAGAAAAAAAAATAGATTAGATGTTTACACAAAACATTATCAATGATAATTTCTCAGTGAAGCACTTGTGTCAGAAGTATAGTGAGTGGAAGTGTAGAATAAACTAAACGTTTATTTATATGTATATATATATATATAACAATATTAAGTTTGTAACATTTACTTAAATAACGTTCTGGTTTCTTAAGTATAATAACAGTTTACTTTTATTTTGACACGAACTTTAATAGTCATCCTTTTTTTGTGTAATGTTTTCTTTTTTTTTTTTTTTTTTTTTAATTTTTTTTTTTTTTTTTTTTTTTTTATTTTTTTTTTTTTTTTTTTTTTTTTTTTAACATATTGTTGTTTTTAGTCCAACCTCATAATACATTAGAATTCACGTCAAAATATTAGGGCTTTAAATTACTGGAACCATCTTAATATGTATAGTGGGACTAATGTTTTGGGGAAAGCAAAAAAATGCATATATATAGAGAGAGAACTATGATAGATAGATAGATAGATAGATAGATAGATAGATAGATAGATAGATAGATAGATATATAGATAGATAGATAGATAGATAGATAGATAGATAGATAGATAGATAGATAGATAGATAGATAGATAGATAGATTAGATTGATTAGATTAGACAGACAGAAAGACAGACAGACAGACAGATAGAACGCTTCCTTAAATAGCTGCCCAAAAGTTATCTTTTATTCGGTTAAATTTATCTATACATTTTTAAAATATAATGAATGTATGTATGACCCGTATGCGCTCATATACCATTCACCCGATTGCGATAAAACTTGCGTGAGTTGTACACACGCCCGCAATTTTTTTTGAATTATAACAAACCTTTTACATTACTCTATTTTGACCCCCTTTTACAAGCTAAATGTAATTCCCTATGCATTCCTATACCATTGATCCGATTTCGATAAAACTGTGGTACGTTGTTGAATTAGGTTATCCATTTGGAAATAAATCGTTTTGCGTCTGGGGGCTCACATTTTTTTATTTTCTTAAAGAGGCATATACTTGTTATTTCAAACAGAGCTATTGAAAGTGTGAATGGAATTCGATCTAATACAAATAGAGAAATTTCAATTTTTATGTGACATAATTAATAGGTTTCTGAATTAGAACAACCATTTTATAATTTTGCTTTTGGGGCCGGGGGCCTGGATCTTTTATATATATATATTTCATAATGCGAGCTATAAAAATAATTTTAAACAGAGTGATAGTTACTGATGGAAGCTTTCAAGTAACACGTTATTGTCATGTTCCTTGTTTTGTTATTTTAAGTTGTCATGCAGGCCGCTCTGACCATTTATTTCACCGGAATTAAAGGGAGTCTTTATTATATTATCCTTATATAGACTGAAATGATATTATAATTTAATCAATGGACGCTAGTTATTATTGAGTGTTAATACATGTTGTATTAAAAATAACTTTTACATATAATGGTTGTATTTTAGATTGAGGCTGGCGAGACTTTATCAATAATAAAATGCTGTCCAATAGGAAACTAATTCCCAATTACACAAGCGACTGCCGTGAAATAAAATATTGATCATTTATTCATTCACTAAGCCCTCGCGCAGCAACTGCTGAGAGAAAAACTGAAAACGTATGTCACTTCTGTCCATCTGCTTCTCTTGGACTCTTTGAAGGGTCACTCTATCACTTGACGTCTTCTCCAGTTTCATTTTTATTAGGCGTGTGTTTTCCTTTTAGTCTTTCTTGAAAGTGAAATTGCTGCCTTCAAAATCGACACAACAAAACCATTCTCAATGACATGCCCTTGAAATGATTCCAGTTGGATTAAATAAAACGTAAAAAAAAACAACAACAAAAAAACAAGAACAAACTTGATGTGAACCGTGGTGTATTTGAACCAAGCCGTTGCCAAACAACCTGTCATTCCTTTTCTTAACTTGTCTACAACGATATATCGCGGCATTGGACATTTTCTTTTGCCCAAATAATTCAATTTCCTCTTGGATAAACATTTGTTCTGGAAACGTCCATTTTCCGTTCTGATGTGTAATTGGTCTTTTTACCATGTCATCCATAGTGTAGGACCAACAAGACAAATATATTTTATAAAAAAAATATTTGTCTTTGTTTTGGCGCTGATATTGCTAGATGTTTGTATCCATGTAAACATTCCAAATACAAGATTTCTCTTACTCATCCTTAACCAATTTGTGCTTAGTGTCCCGAATCTTTTTTTTGTTTTACATTTAATTTTACATTTCGTGGATCCTCTTAACATCATTTGAATCATAGGTGGCTTTCAACACGTGAGATGATAGTGGTTTTTAAGCTTGCTACATTTGATCATAAATTGCGTCCACCTTATAGCTTTAAGTATTGTTCTAAGTAATTCATTTGAACTGTTTTTCATGGTAGTTAGTGCACAATGTAACTGAAGAGATATCTGAACATAGTGAGCTTATATATGGCTTATTTACTGACCAAAAAGTGGCTCTATAAACATTATGAATATCACACTAGGCATTGATTCGTTAGTTTAAAAGAATAGGCTAATCTATATTCGTCCACATTATAGTTCAATATACATTGGGCTTTATATCAGATTTTATCATTTTGCCGTCAGACTGAAAAGAAACCTTAGCATTACATATACTTTTGTATCAGATTCATTTGGATATGTGTATTATTTGTCGCTAGATGAAGGAGATAGAAGTAAAGGTAATATGTAATTGTATGATAAATAAACCAAAAACTGAATCTTGGTTAACAGTTAGGGATAAGAGGCATGCAAAATGTGAGTCAAAATAGATGGACATATAGCTTGAATAGTTATAGTGTAAAGCACGGGAAAGTTCAGTGCGGCAAAGATAGCATGTAAAAAATCGTTTTTTTCTCTGTGAAGTTACAGCTGCAAAATTATATAGTAAACTGTGCCAATCTGTCAATGTGCCCCTACCGTAAGGTATGAAGAAGTACAACGTGTTTATCAGAAGAATCGATAGAACGGATATAATAGAGAAACACTTCGAAATAAACATCCGCACATAGAAGTGGTATTGGCTCCTGTCATTTTCATCACTGTATTAGTGAGCAATGCAAACCAGATGTAGCAACTGAAATCAGCATACCAATCAAATCAAGTGGATCTTCTCTAATCCACTAGTTAAATCGTCATGACATATTTTTGGAAGTGCTCCTGCCACGAGGCCAAATGCAAAATCCTAAAAATCAAGAGTAGCTGATGCATTACTCTATGGTGAAGACGGTCATACGCTTAATATGGCAGGATAGCACCATTTAAGCACCATTTAAGTGTTGAAAATCCGTCCTTATGGCCATTTAATCTGCTTTAAAAATTTTAATTTAATTTTTGATAAATAGGATGTGTCTATTGTCCCAAAACATTTTCGCTCTATATTTTGTATCAGGGCCCCGGATGTTGAAAATAAAAAATTTTACCGAATGGTCATTAACTCATTAAAGATCTTAATATCAATTTTTATCTAAATATTTTCATTGTAAATCATTTGGCAAATAATGGCTTAATTTGATGATGTCACAATCTGGTGTGAGTTGTCTATCTTTTACTTACGAATTCTCCAAGATCTGTTATTCTTGGTTATTGTGTCCCCCAGCCTTGCATATTTTAACCACGAACTTGAATTTTTCGTGGTATGGAAGAGAAATCCTTCACCTAGTTCAACGTCTAGTTCTTTTCCTACTAGAAATGCAGCGCTTATCTAGTAGGATAAGCCATCTCACATAAATCAACCGGTTTTAGACCTGGCCTGTGACTCGATTCCTGGAAATTTAATAAGATTAGTTATTATTATTTTATTTTTATTGATATAAAACATTTTAAACTTTCTTTTAAGGGAATACATATATGTATCTTGAATGTTACTCTATACTAATAGGCTTCACCTAAAACTTATTTTAATTTACCTGAAGTGTGCTTAAAGATTCAGAGGAAAATGTTTCAACTAATTTTAAACATCAAATATTCTATAAGTTTCAGAAGAGATCAATGTTATACTTATCGTTGGAATAACTATCGGCGTACTGGTTGCTGTCAGCCTTGTGTGTCTTGTAATTATCGGGGTGAGAATACACAGGAAGTTACACGATGAAAGGTGAGGTAAACAGTTATGAATGTATATAGACTGTAAGCAGCCAATGGGTATGCATTCTTTTGTTTTTCTCTGTTTTGTGTGTCCAGAAATTGTTTATCGAGGACTAATAGGACGTTTTCACCAGCTAGGATAACAATATGTGTGTAACCTTCATCATCCATCAGATCAAGTGTTCCAATTGGCATGTGCCCTCAGGCCTGTGTCCATGGTGAAGAATTTACAATATTTAACCAGTTGTTCTGTGTGGGTATATGGTGTGTAGTTGTAGTCTGATATTTTTAGTAGATGGTTTATGTTTAAGTCTAGAAGTGTTCGGCAAGAATAAAAGGTAATATATTATCGTCTCATTTGGATGTTTGCAGAGTATGGCACATTTAATATTTTCGCTAGTTTTTTTCCCTAAAGGTCGGAATTAGTTATATGTGTCTTGTGTGCAGGTGAAATATTATGACGTGTTCTCGTCTGATAGGGAATTAATTAAAAATAGAAATATGGTAGAACTCAGTGATGCCCTTCTTCCAGGACAAATTTTGATGAAGTGGCCACAACTTCCAGGAAACACTTTGATTAGGCGGCAACTTCTTACAGGACACACTTTCATCAGATGGTCCCTACTTCCAGGACACACTTTGATGAGTTGGCAACTTCTTACACGACACACTTTGTAAAGGTGGCCACTACCTCCAGGGCATACATACTATGATGAGGTGGCCACTACTACAGGGACACATTTTGATGAGGTGGCAACTACTTCCAATACACACTTTAATGAGGTGATCACTTTTTCCAAGTCGCACGTTGAATAGGTTGCGTTTAAAAGAAATGATCACGATTAGTAAGAAGCAAATAACAACATTTGTACATCTTGCTATGAATACCTTCATTGTGTAACGTCCAGTGTAAGCATTTCAAACACACTCTGCAATAGAGACATTATGCCGTTTTGTGGTTTTGTCTTGGAAACAATTTCGGGTCCTTTGGCTTAGGCGGAAGAGTTGATCATAAGTAAGCTGTCCAGCTTTGAAGCCATCTTGTTGTTTATTGAGTATGTCAGTTGTTTCTGCACAGCAATAGATGCGATCGTTCATCATTCTTTCTCAACGTTGTCCAATGCAGGAGGCCGAGGATGAAATATCTTGTGAAAAAAAAAAAACTTTTGTGATAAAACCTTTCTAGTCGTGTGATTTTTCACAAACTTGCGGGACATTGAAACCATGTGATTGAGTTTGTCCCTTTGCGTATTTTTCAAAGCTTGCCCTAAGTGCTGTCAACCAACGTCGCCTTGGGTTTTGCCAAACAATACGGCCATTCATAGTCTTAATGTTTTCATCATGACGGTTATTACTCCTTTTGTCTGTGGCTTTCCATCCCATCAAGATCTAGAAGATGCATACAACATGTCTCAACATGGCAATCTGGCGCTGGGAGTCAAAGTTTACAATTTGGAAGTCTTTAGTGTTGTACCATGGCTCAGTCACGTGGTCCAGGCATGATTCAATATTTTCCCATTCCCCGCCACACACTTTCTCCTGGCACTCCACACAAATTTGTAGTTTTATGCCATTTGTGTACCAGACTAAGCATGGTCACGTACTGGGTCAATTGTGCCTGTGCGAGTACGTTCCTGATCTAATAGATAGACAGGATCCACCAGATATGACTGGTCAATCGTGTACGTCCATGACGAGCCAGCTTTTGGTTCAGACACAGATTAGTTATTGAAAGAAGTAGAATAAAGACGAAGAGGAGAAAACTACCCTAGTAGGAGTAGGGGCAGATTTAGTGTAACATGTCATGTTTTACTTTTTGCCATTTGAAATGGTGTGGGGGGGGGGTGTGTTCAAACAGAATATTTATTATTATTTTGGCAATTTTTCTATTCATAAAATGCTCAATGTTGCAGCCTGAGAGATGTGAGAGTATTTTCACTTCTACAAATATGCGTAAGTTGCTAATTCAACTTTTAAAAGATGACATTTTAGAGAGAGCCATCTACTATGCAAAGACACTTGAAATCAAATAAAGCTAACGTCAAGACTAAAAAGGGGAACGTTTTTGAGACAAAGCGCAAAGCTGTAACACAAAGACGTACCAAAGCTGCTCGCTCCAGAGTTCTTCTACACCCGGGCTAACATGTTCTTGTGCACTCGGACTTCATAATGTTCTTGTATACCCTGACTACATAATTTTCTGCATACGCTGACTACATAATGTTCTTAATTCCCTTCGGTAACTAATGGCATTTAATTCGACCAGTTTAATTGGTGCGAGGTTGCTTTCAATGAAAAAGTTGCGAGCTCATAAAAAAAAATTTCATAATTAAAAAGTGTACTTGTATCCTTTCCTCATCCCAAATACAGTATCACTGGCAAGTCTATGTCGCAAAGTTCTGGAATGAAGTCATTAGAGAAGAGAAGAGAAGAGAATGAGAAGAGAAGTGAAAACCCAGGCAATGTGTACAATCCACTTGCATTGACCTCACCAGCACGAGAAAACAATAATGGAAGCCCAAACGCTCAAATTCAGTCAGAAATTGGTAAAAGAAGAATTATTTTTGGTAAAAATAGTAATGTAAATTGCGTTATGTAATGGGCAAACTTCTTCTTGGACCCATTTTATGCACACATAAGTATTTTAATGGGGACCGTACGGTATTTGTTGTTGGGACAAAGTTGTTTCTATTCATTAGTTATAGCCTGCCATCTACACCATTGACATGCGTATATGTAATGCAATTACATACGAGTCCTAAATAGTCCTAACCCACTTCCACCCAGTTACGCCACAGCGTACATTTTGTTCGCACTTCTGAACTAAATTAATGTTCTGACGTCCCACTATCTTTTGTGTTGTTGTTTTTGTTGGTATCCGTCTATCACAACGTGACGATGGTGTAGAGTTCGCAGGACGAAAACCACAAGGCCTTGGAATATTCTATTTAGGACTATAATGTGGTTCCCTTCACAGCAAATCACCTCTGAATAACCCAGGGGCATATCATTTGTAGATGACAGAGTTTGGCAACAGTGGCGTCGCACTGGATGTTGGAATGTTTCATTGTGCAAATGTTATCCCCCTTCGGGACTCCATCTCCGGGTTTTGGATTTTGAGTTGCCTTCTCTTAGATGAGATACCATCCAAGGTTACGGAAACCCATCAGCCCGGGCTGCTGGTGATTTTATTACTGGACCTGACTTTGGTGGGGATTTTACTCCAGACAACAAAATGAAGATCGCCTCAGTTTTGAACACTTGGCAACCCGATACCCACACACCGTTAAATCGCACAATTATTACAATTAAAAAAATAATGTATAATTTGAGGCTATTTCCGTAAGCAATAGTAAATTTTACATAAAAAGTCAAAAAAATTGTGTGGGGTTTGGGTGGGGGAGTAATTATGATTCTTTTAATATGCGTTATTTGTATACATGTTTTGTCAAATTTTTCCCCCACCAACATTACTTCATATTAAATGGTATAATGAAAATATAGGCAAAACAATGTTTTTAAAGCTTGCTCAATTTTTGGTTGTAATTTTTTTTTTCCAAAGCGGATGAACCCATATACGAAGAGAATAATTTCCAAGAAGAAATCTATGTGAACAACATGGCGTTACAAACTCAAGACAACACATCCGACGGTGAGGCCAACGATGAGTTATAGGTGAACACTGATTTCTTCAATGGCGTGGCAAATCTCGTGGCGAGATTTATGAAAACCATTGCTCCATAAGTCACAGATACACAGATTTGACAACGGACGAAGATACGGTCTATGGCAATATATTTTGTCCAAGAAATTAAAATAGAAAATAAAGAATGAAAGGAAAGGACAAGCAAATTTTTGTTTAACCGGCAAATACAATTAATTAAAACTACATGACCGATTGAAGGATTAGAGCTTATGTAACTATTAAGTAGTAATGATATATTTGAAATTTGTGTTAGTTGAAATATTGTAAGGGTGCTATTAAAATTATACTAATACAAACAGATTGAACTGGAAAATAGTTTGTTAAATGTTATAAATAAGATGTATTACAATATGACACATAAGTAATTTATTGCCAATGGTTATGACTCAAAGCAAGATGTGCTTGCTATTTCTTGCAAATAACCCAAAAAAAAATAATAATAATAATAATTGTTCACTTTTCATTACCGATCCAAATTTTTTAAAGGCCCATTACACCAAAAAAAAACAAAAAACTATATAATTTTTTTAATATTTTTTTTAAACGAAAATTAGGATTATTTTCGTGAAATTTAGAAATAGATGTTGATATCTTCAGGGGATTCATTGTTGTCTGTAATTGTTAAGTTGAGACAAGCAAACAACCCGATAGAAAGAAATAATATTTAAATAATACAATACATGGTAATAACAGACATTTAAAAAACAAAACAAAAAAAGCCTCGAATATGTTCAGCTCTCCAACGACCCCTTACCTAATGCCAAGTGACCCCGGGGATTAGATATACTGCTTTACTTGTACAATTTGGAGAGCCTAGTGATCGACATTGTTAGCAACAGTGGACAGAAGAATTGATCACGTAAAAACTCTGTTTCGTAAAGCTGATTCATTCGTTATCGTTTGTTGTGATTTTGGGAATTTTAATTAGCAGACTTTTCGTTTCGTCGGCGATCCATTTAACAAATTAATATCACAGATTGATAAGAACATTGGCGTTGATTACTTATTGTGTTTTTATTTTTTTATTTTTTACATTTGTTCAGGGGCGTCATTTGGGTAGGGCAGGGTGGGTCATTAGCGCTCGCCATGGATATGCATTTTTTAATTTAATAGCTACGTACTGTGGCTTCTCCAGTAATAAACAACTCCACAAGTCAGCCAAATTTCGGTTTCACCCCCCCCCCCTCTAGACAAAACCAGAAAAAACGCCCTTGCTGTTTTTATTATTTAAAGTAGCTAAATTATTTTCCAAACTTTTTAAGCACTCGAGTTATAGTTTTTGTTTGACTGATCAATGTTATTATTAAATGTGGTTTACCATTATTTCCATTCATAATCATATTTATGGAGGCAGTTTAATATGATCCGGTGTAAAAATAATCCCATTCAATTTAGACGTGTACTAAAAGGAGCTTCAGAATTTAACCTCCAAATGAGTTTCTGTCATTTAAGATTTTATTATTTTATTTTTATACTCCTAAAAGTCTGATTGCTAAGTGATCATACTTTCTTTATACATAACCTTAGAGCCTGATTTCGATTAGTTTTTACATTTATACATTTACTTAACTAAAACTTATCATATAGTGTATGCATTTGTCAAAAAATAAATTTTCAACCAAATAAAATATGTAAAAAATATATACATTTGAAATATAATGAAATATTATAAACATTTTTTTTTTAATGATTCATTCTCATTTAAATTTTTCATTGCATTTAATCTAGAAAATCAATTTTTTATTTTAAAAAATACTACGAAGGCTTCCTGCTGATAGGTTCTATGTTTTGTTGCGTTCCTTTTTTTTTCTACAGAAGTTCGATTACTTTATTTGACTCATTTTCTTTTGTTCTCACATGCAGTTTCTCCTCTAATTACAATCGGAATAAATTTTGTTTTTCATTGAAAATTGTACGTATTGATGTCGCTTACATCGTCTGTGTAAGCTTAACCAATGACTTGAATATGTACATGAATCTGAACTAGAGTTAATGAGATACTATTTCAAATATATGATTTATACTTCTTTTATTTACTCTTTTTCTAGACAAACATTAACTATATCAAATAATGTTTTCATTTTATTTATAACTACAAAAGTAAAATCCAGTTGAGCTTGGGTAATATGTGTAATGATATCTGCTAAAACGTCTAAGGATTTCACGTTGTAATGTTTGTTTTCAGATTTTCAATGATATCTGATTGTGTTAAGGTTAAATTTTCAACAAGAATTTTACTGGTTATATATGCTCTGTTAGGATAAGGAGATTTCCCTTGGCAATCATTGAAATTAAAGAGCAATCACAATAGATCATACTTGTTATTGTTTGTATAACATAACTGTTAGGACGTTATTTTAAGAGGTATGTGGCTACTCTTTTAATGTAAATATTCCAAGTTATGATTTCTCAGCAATTAGATTTCAAAATTTAATATGCTTTTATATAACTTGACTTGACATCTTCTTTTATATAGCTTGACTTGACATCTTCTTTTATATAGCTTGACTTGACATCTTCTTTTATATAGCTTGACTTGACATCTTCTTTTATATAGCTTGACTTGTCATCTTCTTTTATATAACTTGACTTGACATCTTCTTTTATATAGCTTGACTTCACATCTGCATGTCCTCATGCAAAGCGTTTGCATTAATTATTGTTTGAGACCTGTTAAGCGTCAGAGAAAAATCTTCAAAACATATATGTTTATTTTTTCGAAGTGATTTAGCCATGATAATTTAACGATTGCAAGGTACATCGAAATCATAACCATATATTATAAAAAAAATTTTACTATGATTCTTATAATATTTAACTTTATATATATATATATATAAATGAATCACGTTTTTCAATTGAATCAATTATGAATGATTTTGACTAACTTAAATTTAACAAGTAGCTTTAGTAAGCTGATTGCGCACAATAAAATAATGATTGATAATAGTATACCTTTTCGTTTTGTTTTCTTAGTTAACTTTATTTAATATCTTTATTCACATGCTTTGTGTTGCTTGTTTCTGATTGATGCATTTGATCCTTCTGTTTGGTCAGCTTCACTAGAGTTGATAAGCGACATTTTTAACTCAACATATCATATGAAATCAGTCACAGGAAAGACTAGGCGACGGGTTACATTTGCTTTGCCAAATGTGTTATCTGTAACTAATCTTTGGGCGTTTGACAGCAGTATGCAATGCAAAATGCGACTGCTTCTGCTTTATTTTCACCAGACAGGATATTTCCAAATATGATCTATATCTAGTATTCTCATAATGTATTCGCGTGATTCTATCAGACAGCCATTACGTCTAGCGGAGGAACTATGTTTTCTTGGCGCCTTAAAACAGCCAAAATACGCGCACATTGGAGCACTATATCATACTCTAATTAACACCATTTGAGTAATCTACCTTTGCTGATCAGTAGTCAGTAGTATCATTTTGCTCCTCAGCATCATTAGCCTTAAAATAAGATAATTGCGAACCAACTTCATCCAGGATTCGGGGTCACGTGTGTGTGTCTCGATCCACATTACCATGGCGATTAATAAAGTTATTTTCGGTGTCAGGGTTATACATTAAATTAAACATACTCAGGGTTTCTTCCTAGCATCTCTCCAGCCAGTGGGGCACTGCCCCCGGATAACTATAAATGTACTCGATTCCATGAATGGTGATTTATATAAAAAGGACACTTAAACAAATTGAGATATTTTTTTTTTAAATCAAGAATTTAACAGGCGCATAAAAATAATGCAAATTTAATTAACTATTATATTGAACAAGTTTGTGATTTCTTT